CCCCTGATCCCTAAAACCCTGACACCTCCTCCCTGAGGCATGAAAGCCTACTCCGGATACTCCACGCGCAGCCCTCAGAGACTCAGAGCTCCAAAAAGCCTAGGCAGGGCAGGGGTTCGGGGTCTGTAAGACGGGTTCCTTTCCAAGGAGATTTCCGCAAGGATGTCTTTCATATGCAAAATCCTGCACTGCACAGGATTGTCATAGCAGCATGTTAATGTAGGCTTCCGTCCAGCGAGGGACTGCAGCCTTTGTGCCGTCGATTCAAGGCCTCAGGGCAACAGCCCCGCGAGTTCCGTGAGCCCATCGCGTGTGACCTTCTTCGGAGTCGACGCTTCTCCCAAACGAGTGCCTGTAAATTGAGAAGCGCCATGAAAGCAACGAGTGCACCATGAATGGATGCTGAACAGCATCTGGAATTCCTCAGCCGAACTGCGATGCAGTATTGCCGCTGGGGGTTGGTCGCAGCTCATCAGTTGGCTTCGTAGCTTGCTTATAGTGAAGTCAAAGCCTATCAAAACAGCAACTTACGACTGACGAGCTGCGCATGCAGTCGGACACTTGTGCACTAGTCAGATCTCAATAGTATTCTTTCAAAACCCGCACACGCGCTGCGGGTGACTAGCAAAGCGTGCACCAGACGCGTTTTGTGCACCTAGCCATTCCTTTGGAGCACCCTAAACCCCTAAACCACTAAACCCCTAAACCCCTAAACCCCTAAACCCTAAACCCCTAAACCATCGGAGATGAGCTAGCTGCCTTGCTGATGCCAATGACGTCCCGGAAAGGGACGGTCTCTTTTGCACCTTGGTCCACAGCCTGGGCTTACAGCGATGCTGCAATTCGACCGGTCGTGGTTTTGCCATAACAGTTTGAAGGACAAGACGAAGGAAGGAAGGAAGTAAGGAAGGAAGCGTGACAGGAGGCCAAGTAAGAATTGCAGCTATCAGTTCTGGAATTGGCATGCTTTCCCGATGCCTCCGCTGTGAATGGAATGAAGAGAGATCGTGATGAAAAAGTGCTCAGAGAGCTCAGTTCAAGGGCGCCTCGGGCTCTCTCAAGGGTTTTTTCTAGGTAGTATTAGGGAGACCCCTTGAAGGGGGACCCTTCTTAACGGTACTTATGGCTCTCTTAAAAGGGACCTTATTGAGAGGGTCTATATCCCCAAGGGTCCCCCCACTCCTAATTCCTAGTTTAGAGAACTTGGTCGGCCTCTCGAGGCCTTGTAGCCTGAAAGCTGTTGCCTCGAACCCACTATAAGGCTACACATGTGTGGGTTGATCGAATCATTGAGGCTGAGGTCTCAGGTACTGTGTGAGTCGCGAAGAATGGAGACATTTAGGGCGATTGTTCTTTTGTTTGTCACGGTGTTTGCAGCCTTGCTACCCGGTTTCTGCTAGAAAACGACTTTACCTTGCCCGGCTTAGGGACCTGGCCAGAGGCAAATCTGGCATAGAGACATGCCCCGAGCCTTTCATTCGCCTAGCAAACCTGACAATTACGCGCCCATGTAAGAAGCTTCACTTGCAGTCTGTGTTGCTCTGCGCTCTGCCGTACCGAGGTTCACTCAGTGCATGTATCATGACCAACTGCAGCACACACACACACACACACACGCTGACCCAGCAACGCACGCATGCGGACGCTTACAGGCTCAATCATACTCAGACATGGGAGTTTCAGAAAATTAGGCTACCTTATTTTGGGGTTATTATAATAGGGATGCGATTGTGTAGGGTACGATATTAGGGTCCCTTATTTTCAGAAACCCCCAGAAATGCATAGACATCTCAGGTGCCAGGTCTTTGGCGCCCCTTCAGCGTAACTCTAAGGCTTATATTGAAATAATGTGTTTGCCCAGAGACGTGCAAAAACAATGGGTCATACTGGATCAGCATGACAGTTGCATTTCATCGCATTTTTCATACAAACATGGGAGAAGCAGTGTCTGTGTTGGTGCCCGGGAGGGAGAGCGGCCGAGCAGAGCAGACGGATCTGCAGCTAAGGCGCATGCAGTTGATGGGGCAAGGAGGTGGTTGCTAGTGACTGGTGACTGGTGTCCACACCGACTCTATACAAGATGTGTTTCAGCGTCAAACTTCGGATGGTTTCCGACAGTTCAGGGGCTCAAAGACTGGGACTCCCAGTCTTTGAACCCCTGAACTGTCGACTGGGACTATCTGGGTGCTTCGACAACGGTTCGGAGTCAGAATGCCTTAACCCTAAAACGTGAAAGCAAAGCCCTCAGCCCAAAGCGCTAAACCTAAATCCGAAACTCTCATGGCCCACATGGCAAAGCGGCCTAAACACGCTTTCCTTGCAGCACATGCAGCGCCAATCCCGGAATGAAATCGAAGCAAAACAACCCTGGACAGATCTCAGGGTGTTGTCGGGTTTGGGACTTCAGGCTTCGATGTGCTTGTACAGTACAAACCTTCTTGCATGATTTTCCTTCCTTGCAGTCCAGAGAACAAATCTCAACACCTGAACCTCCAACCCTAGATGCCCAAGCAAAGCCTGAATCCTCAACCCTAAACTAACCCTTAATATCCTGAATCCCAAACCCTGAGTCCGCGACCCTAAACCATGCATTCCAAAACCCCAAATCCCATCCTCAACCTCCGACTAAATCCTGAAGCCCTAAATTTTAAGCTGCAAACCTTAACTCCTAAACCCGAATCTGCTTCACCGGTGTGCTGTGTACATTTGGAGTACTCAGGGCAGTGCTTTTCGGGGCCAGGCATGGAGCATGTCGAGGGTGCATTTCTCTCTTACATGCGCCCTCAAAGATCAGATGAAGCAACAAGGATAGCTTGCTTGCCGTACTAGGTTAATTGCAAGCGGCTCAGGGGTTTGTAGGCCAGCTGGAATCAGCTGCCTTCTTGCCTCGCTGGGGCGCGATTTCAATTACCTTGCCAGGGCCAGATTAATTTGAGTCCCCGGAGCCCAAGTCCTGGTTGAAATACTGGAATGACAGCTCTTCGATTTGCAACAGCCTGCCGCGGAAGAGACTTCAAGACGGAGCCTTAATAAGACTGACCGTCAGGTGCAACCGGTGGCTGCTGCGCAGACAGATGCAACCCGGCTGAATTCCCAAAACGAGGCAGGTCCGAGCGAGGTCGTGTTTGGGAAATGGCAAGTGGCTACAGGCCCATACATTTGGACAGTGGTAGGGGTAGTAGTGGTCCTGGGAGATTGCACGGGGCACGGAAAGGCCGAGGAATATTGCACTTGCGACTTGTGCCATGACCAGAATTACGGCCATCGGCTTCATTGTTGCGATCACATGCGCGAAGTTGGCAGGAGATCATTGGTATCACTCCGAAATATACTGGCAAGAACAGGGACAGGTGGCGAGCACTTCCGTTTGCTTTGCCCGGCAATTCAACAGCTTGTTCCAACTCATGCTTGAAATTTTGCCGCGACCGGCTTAGGTCACGGCGGATGCGCAGAATGCTGAGCAGAATGGGCGGAAGGCCGCCGTGTGTGTTCATGCATGTCTTCATTGTTGCCATGTTTTTGCTCCTTTTGTCGTCTATGCACTTTACTTGATTGCTTTTCATGAGCACATGGGCACTTAGTGTATGCCGGAACCTGATAGAGAGAGAGGGAGAGAGAGAGAGAGAGAGAGAACTCTAAACCTTAAACCCCTGAACCCTGAACCCTAAACAATCCTAAACCCTATGCCCGTGTTCTTCTTTGGGTGGTTCATATGGATGCTACAGGCTTGCGATTACAAAAACCTGGCACTTCGCAATCAGGTCTAGGGTTCAGGGCTTATGGGGATTAGGGGGTTCAGGGTTCAGGCTTTATGGGGTTCAGGGTTAGGGGGCTTAGGGTTTAGTACGTAAAGAAAACCCGAGAATGCGAATGATGAAAGTCTGACTACTGCAGAACCTAATCACCACGCGAGCGACTACCTTTTTTCGAACAAAAACAGCCTCCGATGGTATACACATGTAGCCCAGTCTTCACTGCAATGTCCTCTGTGCACAGGGTGATCCTTAAAGAAGATTCACTTCACGCACTCCCCCTCACCAGTCCCGCCAAGGGACAGGTGAAGAAGCTTCGGAAAAACAGCGCTATCAACCTATTCAGACACACCCCTCTGTTTCTACACTGCTAGACTGGGCCAACTGGACAAAAACCCGGGCACGATTCCGAACCCCTCTCTGCGGGACCCCTTTGGGGTGAGTTCAACTTCAGTACCTCAGGCATCCTATCATTAACAAACAGGTCTCCCATCTTTCACCGCACTCCCCAAACCAGGCGAACCTAGTCTTCTAAAAGCCCAATCCCTCGATTGGGGGAGCAACCCTGTACCCTGGGTGACCCATTCTGCAACCAGAAGGAACTTACAGCCCTCCGGTTCAAGCTCAAAGCCGATGTTCGAAACGGGGTCTTCTTCCACCCCAGCCCACTAGCTTAGTCTCCTGCCCTGACAATTTTCAGTCCGACTCCGAAACGAAACCCTCCTCGACCTTAGACAAATAATCACCTACCAACCAATGGAACTCATCTTGAACCTGTCAGGGTAAGAGTCAACTTCAACTAGGTGCCCGGCTCTCCATAGGCAAAACAGTATCCTCCCCCGGTGGGGCACCTCTCCGCCTAGAGGCAAACCAATGACTCTACCACTTTCAGTCTGGCACCCTACTTCCCTAGTGGCCTTGGGCGCGTAACTCGCCCAACTGACGCTGCTTCTCAGGATTTCCCAGATCCCTGTCCAAACAAACACCCAAACTACACACCATAGCGCTGACCCACCACACCAGTCCTCCCAACTATCCCAAAGGTCAACAGCCTCCCTAGCTACGGAGCGAACCTGGAGGGCCTGTAGTTCATAGGTTCCACCGGTGCCTTCAAAAAGGGGTTCCGTTGGGGCCCCAGAGATCTCATGCCCCTGAACTACCCCAATAAAAGCCCAACAATACACCAAAACCCAGAACCACCACTCAATACAACTCCGCAACCTCGAAGGGAGGAACGTACAAGAAGTAGCCCCTTGCCCAGCTTTGCCACTGCCCGCGGCAGCGAGAGGTTGTTGCAAGGCAATATGCCAGTCAGGCCACTGACCCGACACTAGGCCATCCACAACCCCTTGCACGGCTTCAAACGACCAACCTGGGAGAGGAATCCTGAATGAGTCATCTGCATAAAACACTACCAAAACTCCCTCTTCAGCCGCATACGTCGTAGCAGGAACACCTGTGAGCCCCACTCCTAATCCAACGTGGCCTTCGACCTCGCTACCTGAGGGTTCTTCACTGGTAGATGGATCCGTTGTTGACGTCTCAGTTGACTCCTCCGAAGAACTATCCAGGCCCCTTAACCCATAACGAACCGGCCCAAGTCCTACCTCACGGAGCCTCGGCCCTTCATGTGGCCTCTGATCTACCTCTTCATCATCCCCGGGTCCGTCAAAAGGGAACTCTCGGCGTCCTGTACGCCAGTAGGTTTCCGCTGCCTCATAGGTTAAACCGGTGTCCGCTGTAGCCCTTGGCCCGGTAGCCTCCAGCCACCTAACCAATGCTAGGACAACATTCGGACGGAATCCCCTGGCTACTGGCCGGAGGGCTGCCCACTCCCTTACTCGGTCTCCTAAGAGAAACAAAAGCGCAGTACCGTTCATGGCGAAAAGCCTCCACAAGTAGTGGACCTCATAAGGAGGACCCCAAAAGACATAAGGGAAAACTGCCACAGGCCCTTGAACTTCTCTAGAGAGCATATACTCCTCAGTAGCTTCAAACCAGTTGGGCCCCGAATACTGCACCGCATAAGGTCCCTGGCGAAGTTCGTCCACGACAGCCCCCGCAATAGCATACCTCAAAATGATCGATGCAGTCCGAAGAACCAACCAATCTACTGAACGATCCCCCAAGAACCCCAAAATCCTCTGGCCCTCACATGACAACAACTGCACCAAGAAATGCACTGATAGCCAAGTTCCTACCAAGGGGAAATTCTCCAGGGCATTGGGCTGATCAAAGCAGTCTTCGTAGCAAAACGTAGGCATCGAAGCCTGCATACCATGGCTACTTGAACTACTTCCTACTTGGATGTCGGGATGAGGCGTGGGAAGTACACTACTCGCGCTTCCCTCTCCAGTAAAGCTTGATGGAGGAGGAGGGTTAGCACTGCTCGAACTCCCCCCAATCTGAACATTGGGACCCGGGGGGGTTTCCCAGCTACTAGAGCTACCCCCAACTTGAACAGGCAGTTCATCACCTTCACCATCAAGAAAACCTGACCTGCCCTCGTAAACCTCACAAGTATTAAGTCTCCATCCCCTCAACCCAAACTGAAACTCAGCTCGACCCTCCAACCCGGCTGGTGTTCGAGCCGACCCGGAGTCTTGCCAACTGGCCAGAAGTAGCAGTACTAGATTTCGGCTGAACTCTCGAGCAACGCACCTCAGCCTTCGCCACTCCGGAATCTGGGCCCCTAAGAATACAGATAGTGAACCCCCAACTATCACCAACACCGAAAGCAACCCCGGCCCCCTAGGAACCAATCCTCCAAAACCTTGATTTAGAGGCCCAGACCCCGTACCAGCCTGAACTGACGCTGGGCCTTGCACCTCTGACTCCCTCGGTCGGTTCCCGGCCTCACTAGCAGGGCACCCTTCAGTTCCACCCAACCAATAGGGAACACCTCCAAAACGCTGCTGGAAAACTGGAGGCTCGACTACCTGCCCCGCCGCAATCTGCTTTCTTAATCTAGCCCTTTGTACGAAAGTGAGTCCGGTTCGGCGCTCTTGATCCTCTAACTTACGTTGAGCCTCCTGCCACTCCTGAGGACTAAAGTCCGATGATCCACTATCGGCTCCCCCGGATGCTAGGCCTGATAGACCCTCCGAAACTTCCTCCTCAGGAACAGCTGAAACACTGGCTCCCGGCAATTCCGCTGAACTTTCTCCAACGGCCTCAACCTCTAGATCGGACTCATGGGAACCTCCTGAATTGCTGACTCCCAAACCAAACCCAGCTTCCGAATCCAACACAACACCGGTTACCTCCAGGGCCCCCCGGTCTTGCATCACTTGTCGCAACATGGAGCCGCCCCTGAAAGGCATGCAAAGGTGCCGAGACAAAGCGCAGTTCAAGTACAAGGACACCATCAGAAGGCTTCCATATGACGGCAACTCGCGACCTTCTTTGTTGGCGGTTTCTGTGTTTCCCACTGTAGAAGTGAATCTCTCTGTAGGGAGCGGAGCGATGATGCTCGCCTGCAGGATAAGAATGGCGAAATCTCGTGGCACAGATTGACGGACATCGTTCGGGACACCATCGTCTATCAAAATTTGGACGACATGCGGGGGCCTTGGAAAAGCGAAAGCTTGCACGCCCGCAGCAGTAAAGGCATGTGCTGGGGTTCGGAAGTCGGCAGCCCCTCAAGGTACAAAGGTCTGCGAGCGATCCACGAAGACAGAGAGATGGACATCATCGAGTGTAACGACCGCTACATGAACCCGCTCGACGGAGGGTATCGTGACGCTTGGCTTCCGTCGGAGCAGAGAGCATCCTCCCTACAGCGATCGTTCTTGGCGGAGATTCCTTCCAGCTGCTGCAAGTGCAATTGGAAAAAGGAGAGCCTTACAGTAACGTGCCCCCCATCCAAGGACATTCAGCTGATCCTTCGCATCGAAGGAATGGTCTGCGAGCTGCAGCCTCTCGCCTGTCATGGGGCTCTCTTTGTGCTTTCTCGGTGCTGTCGCAAAGCCAGCACATGCATCCTTACGGTCATGTTTGAGACCAAGAGATCGCAAAGCTTCGAAACCTTCGCCTCCATGTGTCCGGCCCGTGCGGCTTGAGCTTCTAGCCTTTGCTTGTGCTGAGGCTGAACACGAAGTGGATGCAGCACGTGAAAGAGAACGCGGGGCATCGGGCCTTCGAGGTCTCCCGCGAGGAGCCTCGGCAGGATGGGTGGAGCCTTCCGCGTTGAGAGAGGAAGACGTAGGCCCGTAGGCGAGCAGGTATTTAAAAGCATTCTCCGGAATGCTGCTGCCAGAGTTAGAGACACAAGGTCATGGCAGCTGTCGGGGAGCCGGATGCTGTGGAGAGGTGCCGCAACATCCTGCAGTGGGGCAAGGACCACGCGGGCCTTGAGGCTTTGAAGTGGGGGTCCCCGGACCCAGCCCAGAAGCCAGAAGAATCTCGAAAACTCCAACGCCGATGCCGAACTCCAGGATCGGTCAGCTTTCGTCTGCCTAGGGCCTGGTCGAGTCGGGAGTTGGTGTCGAGGCCGACGATAAGCACAAACGTCATTTGCCCTTACGTAGGCACAGGCTTTCGGCACTGACCCGTTCCGCGGAATGGACAACCGCATCCAACCCGCCCGATTGGAGGAAGCTCCCGAAGATCCCAAAGCCAGGAGATGCTGAACGACGACAAGAAGGGCCTCCTCCACAAGGCCCTGCTTCTGCACTTGACAGTGAATCCTCCGAAGCTGGGGTAGTCTAGTGACTAGTGGATTCTAGCGGTGTGAGTCTAAGCTTTGTTGTGCCTCCCTCGCCTGCACCTTTGATGCGTGCCGCCTTGGAGGCTGCAAAAGAGGGGAACGCACACCTGGTGAGCATCTTCCTGGCCTTCCGCGCCGTAGGGATCCCCTGCACGAAGCCATGGCGCATGGCAACGAGCGGGCGATGTGGGCCCTTCTCTGTGCTCGCGCGGACCTCCAAGCTCGAGATTGGGACGACGAGGCGGGGAGGGTGGGGCAAGACATCACAGGCAGACGAGAGATTCTTCAGCATCTACGGATGTCTGCTTGAGGTGCCCCTCCTGGACGGCCTGTTGAAAAATCGGGAGGCGACGAAGGCCGCATGCACGTGAGTTGCAATGTTTCTGATTTTGGACCCCCTCTTGTCCAGCCAGCCCGCTGCCGCTGCTGCTGCTGTTAGTTCGCCTCCTCACACGCTATAAGAAGTGGATGTCGCATAGAAGCAGCACCCTCGATGAAGGCGTCGCGCGCCTCGTGTCGGTGGCCGTCCAGTGTACAGAGGGTGGTCTGGAGCAGCGACTGAACTGAACGCAGTCTGTCGCCATGAAAGCAGAGTGAAAACTTGACCCCCCGTTGGGGCGACCTCGGAAGTTGATGCAGTGAGTCCTAGACATGTGAGGCTGCGAGAGGCGAAGGATGGCCTGGGTGATGCCGTGAAAAAACGGTTGGTTATGAGGCCGGACCTCATCGCAGCGTGCGCCGGCCTTAACGGAGAGTGCTCGTGCACGGCCTCTCTACCTCTCTGTCTTTGTCTCTGCCTCTCTCTCTCCCTGTCTCCATTGCTGTCGGCTTCCGGCATGCACCTCATGAAAAGAGGGTACTTGCATGTCATCAGCGCGCCGCGCATCGAAAGAAGACATTCATAAGACCTTTTAGAGAAGAGATTGTGCCGGACTCGAGAGTTAATTGCTCAACCTCTATTGAGCGGCTATTGGTTTTAGAGGCCTCTTTGTTCACAGACATTCCGCGAGCCAGGTGTTTGAAGCCTCCTCCGATACTCGCTGTGGTGTTGTAGCGCAAAAGGGCCGCCGTACAAAAAGCAGGCTAGAGAAAGAAGCGCTGTGACTTAAACGACATATAGGAACCGCGCAAACATCTTCTTTTTGAAGCTGCTGCCTTCCTGAAATCGCTTTGATGCTCTAGGGCCGAAGCCCGCCCAAATTCTGTTTTTGCAGCAGCCTTCCTCTTTCGGTTTACGCTCGTCCGGACCGTTCTGACAGCCTCGTTTTTTGACTTTGAAGCGTGTTGTGAGATCTTCAGCACCGTTTCTCGCTCTGTGATGTGTGCGAGTCTGTGCAATCGCCTTGAGCCTTTTCCCTGCTGTGCCGAGGCGTCGATGGGAACCTTCCCAAGCTCAAGCAGCTTCTGGCTGAATGGGCCGACCCGAACAGTGCCAGCACTGCAAAAGACGGGCATGCCCCTCTGCACGCGGTGCTGCTTCGACCGAAAGGCCTCCAGCCAGTCCACCTCGACATCGTGAGGGCTCTGGTGGACATGGATGCCGACCTGACCCTCCCCACCACGATGTCAGCTGGAGAAACCGTGCGCACCTTCACCCTGCTGCACAGTGTGCTCCACTCCAAGAGTGGCAAGGCTCTGAAGATTCTGGCCGCTGCCGGTCTTCCGCACGATGGGAAGCTGCTCAGCGAGGTGCTGGATGCAGAGCGGCGGGTGGGCCTTCTGGACGAGTCCCTGGTGTCCGTGGGGGAGATGTTGGAAATGGGAGCCACTCCTGCCCAGATCAAGGCCTTGCACAAGAAAGCAGGGCTGGAGACTCCGGAGGAATTCCTCCAGCAGGTGGTATTGAAGGGATTTGGGCCCAAGGAACTGGGACGGCTGCTCCGAAAGGAGCCTCGCTTCCTCACGCCCACACTTCCATTGCCAGCTTTCGATGCCGTGAGAAAGGCTTTGCAGGAGGCCGGCAGTGAAGCTCGGCTGTGAGAATTGTTCAATCGCCCTGTTTCCCAGAGCCAGGCCCCTGCAGATCTTCGCAACGACCGCGACATCATCCTGGCCTGCATTCGCCACGATGCGGCGTGCTTGGTCGATGCGCCGGAGGCTGACAACAGTCCTGTGCTGCTTGTGCTTCTGAGCATAACGGGGTTTGGTTTTCGGAGTGGCAGTCGGCAGGCCCTGCGCTCGGAGCGATCCTTCCTGCTGGATGCAGTGCAGCAGAATCCCCGAGTCCTCGAGTTCGCACCGCATTGTCGGGAGGACGCAGAGCGGGAAAGTGATCTGAAACTAACGCGGTTGGAAGCCCGGCAAACCTGCACCGACCACGCTAAGAAGACTGAAGAGCCATTTGCAGTATCATAACAGGAGGTTTCTGGCACCTGAGACTATTAAGTTCGCGAGGACCGTGACTTCGTCGCCGACGCAATGCGGCTCCAGCCGGCCGTGCTTGGGAAGAGCTTCTCAGGTGTTGTAAGTTTGCCAGACAGGAGCGGCTACAGGTTTGAAGCATGTTGGCAACGGGTCGCTTAAAGGAGGCCATGCGAGGGGTTTTTTAGGCCAGTCGAGCAGAGGGCTCTTTGCTGTGGGTTCACCAGTTTTCGGAGTCAGGGAATTTGCTGGCCCCTACAGGCCATCCTTTCACACGTAGGTTGAGATTGCTTTTGGAAGCCTGAGGTGCTGGAGTTCGCTGGCAGCTGGCGCAGTGACCGGGAGCTCGCACTCGAGGTACGGATTTACTTAGCTGACGGGCCGAGCATTGCTGGGGTTCGGGGAAGGCCAACGTCATCCTAAAGTGCTTCAGTGGTGGTGGTCTAGCAGCTGGAAATCTGCTTCCGCATCGCAGGCCGTGCAGCGGGCACCCTGGGTGCTGGATCTGCTCGATGACCAGCTGCAAAACGACCCGGCGTTGGCCTTTGAAGCCACGCAGGCGCGACAGGGACAGGCAGGAAGCTTTTCGGGTTGACTCCGTGAGATTGGGTGCCGGAGGTCTTGGCGCGATGGGGTACGCGGACCCTGGACTTCGTCCGGATGGCTGAATTGCGCCGCGTGTCGCATGACTCGGAGGTGCTTTGCACCTGCGTCACCGCACACAACTGCGTGGCCGCGGGCTGCGAGGATGGCAATATCGTGCTCCATGATCTCAGCGGCCTCAGCGAGACAGATGAGTCACCCTGGAAGCTCCAGGGCCACAAGCTCAATGTGAACTGCTTGTGCATGCTCTCTGAGGCTATTCTGGCCAGTGGGTCTGCCGACCACACGGTCCGCATATGGAACCTTCATACCAAGGAGGCACTCCACGTGCTGGAAGGACACACATACCCGGTGTTGGGACTGGTGCGGCTAAGCGCGACCCAGCCAGCGAGCGGAAGTGCTGACACGACCATCCGCCTATGGAGCCTCACGCAACCCGCAGACTGCCGCGTCTTTGTGGGCCACACCGGCTTTGTGCGGTGCTGTTGTCTCACCACGGCCGGCAGCCTGGTGAGTGGAAGCGATGACGAGACCCTTCGGGTCTGGAGACCTGAGAATGGTGAAGCGCTGCAGGTACTCCGCGGCCACACAGGTAGGGTGTTCTGCCTCTGCCAGTCGTCTGCTGAGCTCCTGGCAAGCTGCAGCGATGACAAAACTGTGCGTCTGTGGCACCTCACGACTTGGACAGCCATGAGGGTCCTCGAAGGCCTCACGACCGCTGCTTTGTCGCTTTGCCTCTTGGCACCGAGCCACCTTGCAGCAGGCGACAGGACTGGCAGACTTCTCGTCTGGTCAGTGACGAGTGGAGAGATGGTCCACGAGATCCAAAATGCCCACAGCAAAGAGATCGGAGCCCTGATGATGACGAAGGTGGATGGAGAGCACATGCTGTGCAGCGGCTGTCTCGACTCGACCCTGAAGCTCTGGCAGCTGCAGGCAGGGGCGGCGCAGATGTTCAAGCACACCCGCAGTCCAGTCCGAAACTGACACCAGACTCACAGCGTCCGAGTTGTTGTCGCGCTCGGCGAGGCAAGGCCCTGAGCCACCACATCAGAGGCAGAGGCCGGGCTTCGGGTTTGTTCGCTGAGTTTTCTCGGGCCTGTCTTTCGAGCGTCGGTTCAACGCAGCAGCTTTGAGGGTTCAATTCTGAAGGATTCATGGATATGAGCAAGGACCCCAAGAGGTTGTGCGGAAGCTGCTTCTTACCTCCCGACATTGTGTGTCTTTGAGAACTTCATTCCAACCGAACTATCTATCTCAAGGGAGAATCGCAGGTCAGCACGAAGTTGTCGGAGTGAACTCTTGAAGCTTTTGCAGGCCGACGAGCCCGATAGGCCCTGGAAGCAGTGCGGGCAGGCTCCATTTGTGAATCCATGTTTCACTGCCCACCAGCGCGCGACACGCAATGCCGTGTCCTAGATTGCAGAGCTGCTTCAAAAGGACGCAGCAAGGCAAGAAAGTTGCAGGTGCCGGCTGCCCGTTGTCCATGAGCCTGTTACAGACACTAAGAGCTGATGTCACATTCTGGGAACCTCAAAGGCTAAGCCTAAGTCGACTGCGAGGTCTCTGCTTGTCTTTGCAACGTGGACGGGACGATTCGCATGCTTTCAGTCGTGAGGAATCTCACGGCCAACTCCGTAGCAGAAGCCAATCTGTTAAACAGGTTTGCAGACCCTGGTCAAGATTCAAGGTGTGGGTGAATGGGCCTCCTCTAGCCCCACAGCTGGGTCGCGAGGAGCCGGGAGCCAACAGTTTACAACCGACGACCAAGCAGCTAAAGCTTGTGCTCTGTTTGTGGCGAAAGAGAGACCTTCAAGGAAGGGTTGCTTTGACGTGGCCTGACATTTCGAGCAGGCGAGAGATCTCCGAATGGATCCAGTGATTCTTGTTTGGAATGCTCGTTGCAACAGCTATGCACGAAGATGTGCTCAAGCTAACACAGACAATACTAGTAGTCTAAGTAGTAGTCAAATAGCCCGAAAGCTAAAGCTCGGAACCGCTAACTCACATCCACGACCCTAAACCCTGTCGGATGCTGAGCTTTCTCATGTTGGCTCAAGCTTTCCTGAACCAGAAGACTTGGAGGTTCAGGGTATGTACACCCCAATCTAAGTTATGGTGGAGTTTATGACCAGAACCTGGGTAGTTATAAGGGAGCTTAATGGAGGGATGAGAAGTAGCATCACATAAGTAGAGAGGCACTACTCCAACAAAATCCGGCGCACCTCCAAGTCTAGGATGCATTCGTGGCGCAGCTCGGGAGCTCTCGCCCGTGACTTGACTTACATCATGGGTACGCATGAGTAACTTGCTCATGCTGTTTTCGCATGGGCAAAACACACGGCAATGCTGTCGGAAGTGGACTCCCGAGCAGTTGTTGTGCACAGGTTGTTGTTGCGTGCGTGTGCCTTCGTGCGAGAAGTTTGTAAGACGCAACTGCAAGGCCGCAGGTCCTGTAATCAGTTGTGGCGGCAACGTCTCGAGTTTGCACAGCTGTCTTGGGTTGTGCATCCACAGTGCAAACGTCCACATGCAAAGGTGAGACTTGGTTCTTGCTGTCGAGCCATTGGACGAATGATACAAGAACCACCAGACCCAGAGGCAGGCTCGCGCCCATGTTTTCGCGAATTGCGGAAGTGCCAGACAGACAGAAGCGGGGCTTCGAGGCCCCTAGAGTGTACACCAGCCTTGAAGCCGCAAGACGTCCCGAGCGAGTTCGTTGTGTACGCCCTCGAAGCCCTTCGAAGCTCTTCCAAACATTCGTGCGATTCATACAGCAGCCGAGATCTCTACAGTTGTTGCGACGAGATTAGACTGATGTCAGTGCATCGGTGCTTGCAGGGATATTGCTAGGACCTCAGTAAAACACCTCGGGCAGCAGGCGTCTCAATGTCGTAGCTTCTTTCGGCTTACGTGGCTGCGAGCAGCGGTTGCATTGCTCTCATGTGTATCAGGAACCAGGCGAAATACTTCCTGCATCTCCGCATCTCATGTTCGGGTCGCCTAAACCTTATAAGATTGCAGCTATACATCGTCCTGGAGAGGGAGATCCGGGTCCTCAACGGCTTCATCATGCAATTCGACTGCTGCAGGTTTCAAAGCGGTCCGACGAGATGTACTGGAGTTTGCACATGTCGAAAGTCTACAAATGTCAGTCCTGAATCCACACTCATGAAGCGCCGGTCTCAGTCAGGCGGAAGTCTAGCTCCCGATATTTCGTTTGATCAAAGGGTTGCTTGCGAGAAGCTCACACAAAGGGAACCCGAGAAACCTAGTGGGTGTGTACAAGCCCTGGCAGTCTTACTCCCAATTTCTACCTAGCGTAATCCTGCACTCCCTCTTGGTGCCGTTCCCAACCCTGCGTGGTTTTAGATCTAGTTTGTCAGGTGGGCTCGGCACCGCTCAGTGCATGCCAGGCCAGGCTTTGGGTTCGGTAATGGTCTGGGGCTTCCTCTGAGGCTTCTTCCTGAGCCAGAGATTTGGAAGGCAAGTCCTTATCATGTGCCCCGTTCCATGCACTTGCTCGACATCTGGCTTGCCATCGTGCTGCGACACGTCCGGCTTTGTGTGCTGCAGTCTGTAAACAGACGGACAGGTTCCTTCGTAGTAGTGGCATGCGCAATACTCAATCGGTTTACTTGCAGCACTGTGCACACGTGGCTCTTCAGGACGCCAAGGTCTCGTGCGTCTAACCTTAAGACCTCACATGCATATTCCCTGATTATTCGTCCTGGCTACGTATCATTGTTCTGGCTATTGGTAGTTCTAGCATTTCGCGTTCCTTGTTGTGCCCAAATCACAACCATCCGCATCCTTAGCCCGAGGCAACCCAGACGGCACTGAGCGAGGCGACCGGAAGCTGGTAAGGGTCTAGGGGTTGAGGCACTGGGCACTTTTGGTTCGCAGTGTTGCGGAGACCCTCCGGATGCAAAGTCCGTCGCATGGATTCCCCACAGCCCGAACCCCAAGTCGGCATAGTTCTCACGTCAAGCTCTTCCATACTGTAACTCCTGCAGCGCGACGCCTTTGTCGGTGCTAGTACCAAGGCAGCGACAGAACTGCAAGCCCAGCTGTTCAAGTCATCAGGCATCAGAAGCGCCACAGAACGGGAAACAGGCAGCCTGCGGCCCAGAGGCTGGTGCTGAGCGACAATGCACGAGAGTTTGCGTGGATCAGTGTCTGGCATACCGTCTAAGAACCACAAGCATGTCTGTTATCTCTTGTTATATGTTGCTATGCAAACCCCAAGGCCATGCAAGCCGATGCTAGCACAGCGCCGAAGGCATCTTTCTACTGCAGTGCAGAGGGGCGCAAACTCCTGTATGCAATCTGTCGTTGCTGCTTTGGGCCAGCGTGGATCTGGCGCGACCTTTTGCTGGACGGTCTTGCGCATTCGTATGCGTACTTCTTCCGAACCGTAGCCTCTACAAGTCCCACCACCAACATGTATCCCAGTCCTGGTTTGGCTTCCGCGCAGGTGAAAAGAAAAGCGAACAAAACAAAGGCGTGTCCGTTGGCGTTTCTTGCTAGTCGACGCCCTGAGCCGAGCACATCGATTCAGAGAGTCCACTTTGAGTGCACTTTGGTTTGTAGCAGGCTTGATTCAAGACGTCTGCTGCTGCGTCGTATTGGGGTCTCCCCACAGTGAAAATGTCATCTGTCTACCTGTGTTTACCGTACTTCGAGTTCAAGCACATCTCATGTGAATGCGTTAGAGATCAACAATGGGGCATGGTGTCGACTTGCACGGCTCTGGACTATGCATGCTTTGTGTACTGCATGCACGTTTGAGAAGCTCAAAAGCCTGTTTATGATTGCACAACATATTGCACACAAAGCAGGTGCCTCCTGAGCCACAGTTTGGACGAACATGACAAAACTCGTTTCCGTAGTTTGACATCATCGCTGTGTGCATGAGATGATGGATCCATGTGGTTTCCGTGGGCCAAGTGCGCTTGCAAAGTAACTCGTGCAGGCTACATTGTCGAATGCTGGACAAACCGCTTTCGAAAGGCGGTGGTTTGGGGGTTTCGTGGGTGTGGGTCGTATGCGAATGCGTGTTAACAGCAGTGGAGCTCAGTTGTTGCTGCCGGGGTTAGAGCCGTGGTTGGGTGTTGGCGGCTTCTCCGGGCCAAGAACATGGAGGGAAGCCCAGCAATTGAGGACGACAATGAAGAGGAATTGAGTGGCCGTGCCCGTGAGACGAGTGAACCGGGAGTCCACTCCCTTCTAGAGGTGACGGGACAATGGAAGCCAATTGACTTGGCCATAGTCTTGGAACACCACGAAACTTGGATGAGGCCGGACCTATAACAGTTGGACGGAGGCGAGGGAAATCAGAATCTGCCCCAAGCCCAGCCCGGCAGCTCTGTTCGCCATGGATTATGGGCCCTTCAGCATGCTGTGCAACGGGACCCGCCAGGCAAACAGAACTCCGGGTCGACGAGCTCGCTCATCACCCACAGGAGCTCACACTGGCCTACTAAAGTTTCGTCAGGCTCTAGGGGAGCACCTACGGTACAAAGAGGCAATTAGAAGCCTTCTTTCATGCCGCAAGCCATGAGAAATGCCAAACTTGGAGGTTCATTGCCTTCATGCCCTCTCATCCTCCGTCCGTTTCCAACTTTCTTGTTTTGGGGCATGTGGGGGTTTCCGAAAATAGGGAACCCTAATATAGTACCCTAAATAGTAGGATCCTTAAGGTTCCCTAATTTTCGGAAACTCCCATGTCTTCCCGGGCCAGATCACCATCAACCAAGGGAGGGGGTCTCAGACTCAGAGGCCTCATCCTCCTCGAAGGCCTTCCGGAAGACTTGCTGCAGTGTCCTCGATTCGTTGAACCCAGTAGAATAGGGTTTTGGATATTTTATACAATAAGTATAATAAAGAACCCCCAAAACCCTTTTCTAATTATTACAAGCTCTTCTTGGCCTATTCGTGTCCTCGCCGTGGAAGCTTTCCAACATTTCCATCTTAGCGGGTTCGACAACCATATAGGTATTGGCAGCGCGAAGAAAAGCTTCAATAACTCACGGTAGCCC